AGAAGGAGAAGGAGAAGGAGAAGGAGAAGGAGAAGGAGAAGGAGAAGGAGAAGGAGAAGGAGAAGGAGAAGGAGAAGGAGAAGGAGAAGGAGAAGGAGAAGGAGAAGGAGAAGGAGAAGGAGAAGGAGAAGGAGAAGGAGAAGGAGAAGGAGAAGGAGAAGGAGAAGGAGAAGGAGAAGGAGAAGGAGAAGGAGAAGGAGAAGGAGAAGGAGAAGAAAGTAATACATGCACCATGCTGTATGGACAGGTTACCGATAACCTCCCAGAGCCCTGCAGGGTCAGTATCACAACACCCAGTGTGCAGATGAGAAAATGACACTCAGCACCATGGAGTTTCGGGGAAAGGATTATGGGTCCCCAGTCAGGGACTTCTGAAAGGAGTGGGCGCCAAGAGAGCTGAGGTTTCTGTCCTGGCAGTTGCCTGGAGGGGAAGCGATGGGAGGAAGTGGAGGCAGCCATCCCACACTCTACCCCGATGGCATAGCGGATAACTCCGGCTGCCTCCGCCATGGGGATGACGTCCTTATAATCCAGGTGGTCGCCTTCTTTCTGCCCATCGGTAATGACAATGAGGATCTTGGTGGCATCCTTGCGGGCCCCACTTCTGGCACTGAACAGTTCGTTTCTGTCCGGGAAGAAGAGGGTGCAGAGGGCTGTGAATGAAGGCCCTGATATTGCCTTTGTGAAACGAGCAACGCCCTTCCTGTGGAAGCCCCAGTCCCACCGAAGACCCCGCTTGGCTAGGGAGTCATAGGCGAGATTGCAGCCTCTGCCCGTCCCTTTCTCAAGAAGAAAACCAGGCTGTTGGGAAAGGATCGGGAGAAGGGAGGACTCACATGACCATGCGGATGGCCGTGGCTGTGTGAGTGAACCCCCTCAGCTGCCGCACAGAATTTAACAGGCTTAGCGGGTAGGGGCTGCGGACGAACTCGTTGAAAGTGAAGTGTATCCAGAATTTGTGGGAGAACTGCATCAGGGAGAACTGAGAAAACGCCCAGGGTGGGCCCAGGGGACCTCACTGGGGTCCCCAGCCCCAGCCCCAGCAGCACCCTGTGCACACAGCACACGCCCCCTGCCCGAGGGCACACCTGTGTGCTGGGCCTCTGGAACTGACTCATCACGGCCCTCACGAAGCTTATCATGGTGGCAAAATCGCTGGGGGAGATGCTGCCCGAGCCGTCGATCAGGAACGCGATGTCCTGCTCCTGCTTTGGGCACTCTGAGGAAGGAGGTGACACTAGTCCATGCCCCTCCTCCAGAGCCTTCCCACCTCTCCCCCCACCACCCAGCAGTGAAAGGACCTGGCCGGTATCTGTCCACCTGGGTCAGGGCTGAACTGCGCATTGTTAGTATGTCTGCTGTCACCCTGGCACGAGCTACACAGGGACCCTGACCTGTCCTCAGCTTACACAGGAGCCACCACTTCCTTCCTGGTTTAAAGCAGAATCTGCCCTCCAAAGAGGAAGCACTTTTTTCTCATGGACACTCCTGAGACCCTACTCCCTTCCTACCACCCACCAGAAGGTGGCCCCTTCCTGCCCCAGAGGACTGTCACCAGAGGGAGTGGTGTTCTGATGGGTGCCAGGCCCTGCAGGTGCCGTCTAGATCCAACGTGGTACTGCAAGAGGCATCCCATTTGTAGTCAGTCTCCCCAGGGGCTTGAAAGTGAATGCGAAACCAGGGTGTGGCCTCAGCTTGCCCTGGGCTCGCCCTGAAAGCTCAGTGTGGCGCCTCCTTATCTTCATTGCCATCAGTACCAGGGAAGCCAGGCTCTGCACCTCAGCCTGTGTGTGCACACACACACACATGTCCATGCACACACATATGCACACACATGTAAACATGCACACATATACACACCCACAAACAAACATACCCACACATGTGTGCTCGTGTGTGTACATACACACAAGTATGCCGCACATATGCATGCAGTTATCCACACATACATATACACGTATAAACTTACATGCATGCACACCCACCCACATAAACATAACCACACACATGCATATCACATGCATATACACATATGCGCACGCACGCACGCACACACACACACACACACACACACACACACACTACTTAGTCTGCATCCTCGCCAACCTTTCCCAGACTGCTGCACAAGCCAGTTGGTTCTATCCCTGGGTGCACTGGGTGAAAATAAATCCCTTCTCCCTGAGAATAATGGGAGCTACATTCACTGGGCCCTCGCCTCGTGCCAGACTGTGTGCTAGTCCTAGCCGTGGACCATATTATGTTATTTTCAGTGTTGGGCGTGTTATTTTCCATCTAGCAAAAACACTGAGGCTTGGAGAAGAGAAGGCCATAGAGAAGGCCGGACCACCTGGAATGACTGGGAGGGTGTGGGAGTAGGCAGTGGCCCTCCGGGGTCTGACGCCACCAAACCATCTGGTAACTATTTCCCTGGATCCCCCTTTCTGATCCACTTTGACAAGAGTGTCTTGGCCCCACAGTACCCCAGTTGGGTATATGGGGGCTCTTTGAAGGACCTGGTGGCCCCAAACACTCACCCTGCAGGGCTGCTGGGAACCTCTGGGTCCACCTGAAGGAAGAAGTGAGCAGGAAGCAGAGTCCAGTCAAATGCACGTTCTCCCTGCATGCATGGTGCACAGTGGGGCCGCAGGCCTGGGGACAAGTGAGGTGGTGGGACAGGCTGCCCCTCACCCTCCCACCCTCACTCCACAGCACCCCTCCCAGCAATCCTGATGCCCCATTCCTTCCTTAGGACCCTCCAGCGACCCAGAGGAAACTCACCAACAGCTGGGAAGGGTTGGTGGAAGCTGCCAGGGACAGGCCCAGGGACATGTTCACAGCTTCCGGGGGGACTGAAAAGACGGGTACATGCACGGTCACCATCAGGGACAGAGGAGGCTTATAAGCTGGGCAGGCGTCCCCTCAACCTGAGTGACTAGTGATGAGGGCTTCAAGGCCTTGATGGAGCTGCAGGGGTGCAGGAATGGGATGGGTGGGGAGGTCTGAAGGAATCAGGAAGCCTGTCTGAGGGTGAGGGTCTGCAGACAGAGCTGAAGCTGAACCTCGTGTCCTCACAGGCCCCAGAGCATGGGACCCCAGGAGGGGCAGCGACTCACCTTGGAGATGGATGGGCTGACACCTGCTTGTGCGGTAGTCACACTGGTACAGGCCACCTGTTTGGTTGGCGGCCTGTATCTCTCGGGGGGCTCCAACCACCAGCCTGTGAGGAGACAAGGCACGTGCAACCTAGAGAGTGGGCACTAGAGCCAGGCACAGTGGCACACACCCGTAATTTCCAGCTACTTGGGAGGTTCCAGCAGGAGGATCTAGACTTGAGACCAGTCTGGGCAAGACCATGTTTCTTAAAAAGAGAGAGATGGGGCCAGCAGATGGCATAGCGGTTAAGGCACTGGATCCCACATGGCCCAGTGTGGTTCAAGTCCCAGACCTGGTGACTTGAAAAACACACTGGGCACATGTGTGTGCCCAAATTTCCAAGAAGAGAATGGAGAAGAAGGGAATGTGGCATGACCATCCTTTCGGGGGGGGATGATTTCTCACTTTCCCTCTCTCTGCCTCTGTCTCTTTCTACTGAGCACATGTACCCTATAGCAAAGAAATAGAGAGAGCACATAGAGCCCAAGAGCTACTCCTGCAAGCTTGCTCCCCACTCTGAGCCTCAGTTTCCTCGTCTGTAAAACGGGGATGAATATCCATTTAAATTCCACATGGCAGGCATTTCTGGTTATTCTCTGATACACGTCCCAGCTGGTATGTGTCCTGGGGCATGTATTAGGCCATATTTTGCCATTACACTTCGTGGCTTTTCCGACGACCCAGTAGTAGCTGCTCAATGAATATTTGTTGAACAACAGAGTCTACCTGCGAGGGTGGTTGCAAGGACTGAACCGGTGCCCACCTGTGCCGTGCTGGGCACAGCGCCTGGCACCTAGCAGGGGCTCAGTGAGCGCTGGCTGTGATGTTGAGACGGCAAGGCGGTGCCTACCTTCAGTCTAACTCAGGGTGGAGTTGTCACAGCAGACAAAAAAGACAGTTTGCAAATAATGGGGAGGGCATGGGGAGGGCCAGGGGCTGAGCCTGGAGAAGAACTGATGGGAGTCAGTGGCCAGTCCCCACGCAGTCCTCACCCGGTGTTGGCATACTGGACCACGCTGTGTCCAAACCCGGCACTGTCCACTTGGAAGGTAGTTGGCTGCTCCGTGTCCAAGTTGAAGCAGAGAGAAGCAGCTGAGGCTGGGGAGGAGGGCGGGAAGGGAGCTTTGGGGAAGAGTCTTCCTCCTCCCCGACCTTCCTCTGCATCCCCCCTCTAGCTCAGCTCCGTTTCCTGAGCCCCCCAACTCCCTATTCACCCCTTCAGGCCCAGTGCTCTAGAGGCCCCTGGTTTTCTAGACTCTGACTCATCCCACTTCTCTTCTTCACAGGGTGGAGAGCCCCCGCTGGCCAGCTGTGTCTCAGAGACATTGTGGACAGACAGCAAGGTTGACTTTTCCGCCTAACTGAGAAATCTCTGGGTTGATGACCGACTACTTTCTCAACAACTCTTGAACTCCCTCCAAACCTGTTCTTCACTATCTTCTCCCCCTACAAACTCCAGATCTCAAGCCCCATAATGTCTGAGTCTCTCCCCTTACCTGGACCCTAGTTCCCCAGTCAACAACCCTGCCCCTAGTGCAGTACCCTGACTCACTCAGACCCAAGTCCCCTAGACCGCTCTCTTTGGGGCCCAGGCTCACCCATTAACAGGAGGAGGGCTGTCCTGGTCCCGGTCATGATGGGAAGGTCAGACATGGGGTTCCAAGCTCCAAGTTCCAAAATGAAGGGCTGCCACCGGTCAGCTGGATCGAGGTACTGGAGAAGCAAGTGACAGAGGTGGCCAGGAGGCCGAGGCAGGGAGGGAAGTTGTCAGCATGACTCAGGAGTGGAGGGTGGAGAACAGAGAAGGGGCCGAGGTGGCCCACGCACTCCTCCTGCGGGAATTCGGAGATGACTTGTCTCCTTTCTCTTGCTTCGCCGTCTCTACTTGGTGGGCGCTGTCCTGATCCGCTCCACCCTCCCCAAGTTCCCTCTTGAACTTCACATTTCAATCCACCTGGGAGAGGGACAGACATCAGCCCCACAGGACCCAAGTGGAAGCCCTGGTGGAAATCCTCCACTTGTGGAACCCTCCAGACCAAGAAGTCAGGCATCTGGCCCCGAGGCAGAGTGTAGAGTGAGACTCATCCACTGATCATCTTCAGCAAGCCCTCTGTGAGGCAGAGGGCCGGGAGAAGACACAAACCATGAGGACCCGGTCCTGGGGTCAGCGGAGAAGAAAAACCGTTAAGAGACAGTTGTCAGCAAAGGGGAAGCCGAGAGACCACAGGGCCTTACCCAGGCTGGAAGGGTGTGGGCTTCTGAGAAGGCTTCCTGGAGGAGGTGGCACTTGAGCTGAGTCTTGACATCCACGAAAGTTGGGCGACTGCAGGCGAGCGTGTTTCAGGAGGATTAGCTGCAGGTGGATGAGACGTGAGCCTGACTGCGAGATCATCAATAGGAACCAGAGGGTGGAAGGTAGGAAGTAGCAAGAGATGAGGTCAGGGCCAGGGGAGGAGAAGAAGTCGACCCCAGTCCAGAAGCCCCCTATGGCTTAGTGATTTTTATCCCGAGGGCAGAAGGAAGCATTGAAGGGAATTAGCGAGGAGGACTGAAATCTTCCAAGTGACATTGCAGAAAGCTATTGATAGAAAGCAGGGGGTGTGTAGGGCGTGGTTTTTTTGAGAACCAGCTGGAGACAGATCAGTCAGGGGAGAGATGCTGGGGACCTATGGGGTGGTCTAGTGGCCATGGGTTAGGCCGGAAGTTGACTGACCACTGAGGGGAGGATGGTGGTGATGGCCTCCGAACTGGAGAGCACTGAGGAGGAAGTGGGCAGTGAGCTAGGCTGACTCCGGTTTTGAGAAAACCAGAATGCAATGTTTAAGAGCTTGGTCTATTTCAGCCTCCCCGTGCCTCAGTTTCTTCCTGTGCAAAGTGGGGTGATCGTACACACCTCCTGTTGCCGCAGAGGCTCGTCAGTGCGACGTGCCCACAGGAGTGTGTAGAAGCCCCGCTCATCAGCACTGTTACTGCACCCCCATGATGACGGTGGTGGGTAGGAGGGGGCCGAGGAGCCACCAAGAGGCAGCTGTGTGGGTCTGGGTCTCAGGAGTAAAGTCCAGGTTGGGGACGTGTTTGGGACCCGTCAGCAGAAGCGCTGGGTGAGAGCAAAGTGGAAGGGAAAGATGGGCCCGAGGCGGGTCCCAAGGAAGCACCAATATTGGCCGCAGAGCAGGAGGCCCCGAAGGCTGAGGCGGGCTGCTGGAGGAGGAAGGAAGCACAGGAGGGAGGGGGCTTCGTGGATAAGGGCAGGCTGGACAAAAGGGGTGCCAGCAATGCCACAGGCTGTCAGATAGCAAGTGGGGGCAAGAATGAGGAAGTCCCGGCTCTGGCCAAGTTGTCAGTGACCTGGAGTAGGCCGTGCTGGGTGATGGGGGACGCCAGCCTGAGTGGGCTGAGGAGGAACTAAGAATGAGGAACAGGGACCGCAGAATCACCACCTGGAGAGTAGTAGCCACCAAGACGCTTCAGACACGATATGGCTGGGAAAGGCCCTGGAATACGTGGAGAAGAAACCAAGAAGGGAGAGGGCTGAATTCCAAGTAGGAAATAGGGAATGAAAAAAGACAAAGAGAAAAGATGAACGGGGCCAGCAGGTGGTTAAGGCAGCCGCACTCCCACGAGGCCAACCACGCGGTTCAAGTTCCAGACCCCGCGGCTTGAAAATCACACTGGGTGTGTGTGCACGTGTACCCAAAATCCTGAGAGGAGAATGCAGAAGGATGGATTGCAGAGTGGTCCTCCTTCCTTGGAGGTGATTCTCCCTTTCCCTCTCCCTGTCTCTGTCTCTCTCCAGTGAGTGCACACACCCTATAGCAAA